AGTGGATGTAGGTCGGACGACCGAACCACTATAAAATTGGCGTGTTCTCTTCTTGGTGCATACTTTACTTTTGCTGCATTCTACTTTACTTCATTGTAAACTGTCTAATCCCCTCCTCTCTACTCACTTACGAATTTATTCGAGTCAAACATCTTTTCAAAATGGTTTTTTGTCGAACTAATAACTTCATCATACAAAGTTTTCCTAAATTGATTAAATTTATCATTTTTATTCGCTACACTAATTCACCCCCCCCCCCTCTTAGTACCGTTCTTGATCCTAACAATTGGTATCAAAGCGAGACCACTCTCATTTTGGTTTGAAACCCAAGAGAGATGGCGTTTGCCAGCAATCAAGAGGGTCACTCAATCACACGTCCACTCATGTTCATGTTGAATCTCAGATTTTGATGATGAAATCAATTGATGTGTTAGTCATCTAATGTGTGCTTAAGTGACGTAGGAGTAGCTTCGATCAAAGAGAGGCAAATTGATTAAAGTAGGAGGAATAAGATGTTGGGCCGGAGTGAACATGTCAAAAGATTGGACGTTGGGTTGGAGGATTGGTCGACGTATCGGCAAAAGGCTTTGTGCCATGAGTTCGGGCATCGGGCCAAGAAGATCGGATATTACGCCAAGGAGATCAGATGTTGCAAGAAGACAACATACCGATTGGGCAATATGTCGAAGGAGAGGTCGATGCGTTGAAGGATCGGACAAAGCACCGAATGAACCAATGATATGCCAGATAACATAGGATTCATACTTGTAATAATTTGTCTAGATCATGTTAGTTTATGTCTAATTGAGTCGATATTAGAGTGAAACAATCTCAATTCAATTAGGGGCCAATTGGGCCTGAATCAGGGCTGAATTGGGTCTATTGTTTGGCTCATTCAGGGTCCTATAGTAGGGTCTAGAGGTGGTACTGCCCAGACTTGGTGGTGGTACCGTCCAGACATAATCTTTAAAATTGTGTCAGGTAGTGGTACCACTAGATTGGGCGGTGGTACCGCCCAATCACAATCTCCCAAATTATGTTAGGCGGTAGTATCGCTAGACTAAGCGGTGGTACTGTCCACTATCAGTGTTGTAGGCGATGGTACCACCCAACACAGGCGATAGTACTACTAATACCTGGGAAACCCGAGATGAGACCTTTTTTGGCTTCAATTTTGAAGCCATTTAGGGCCTATAAATACTCCAACTATTCCTGCATGGAGTAGCAAGAATTGAGCACAAAATTGAGTTAAAAAAAGGAGGAAAGAATACTTGAGAAAAATTGGGAAACTCTCTTAGGATTTATGATCACTTCTTCCTAGTATTTAAAAGTTTGTCTAAAGGGAGAAGTGAGGTCTAAGAAAGAGAGGCTTGTAAGGGTTGTCTCCTAAACCCGTGAAAAGGAGAAAGAGTGTAAAAAGGTAGTTGATCTTCGCTCATTAAAGGAAGATCGTTAGTGGATGCTAGTGGCCTCAACAGAAGAGGAATCGAGAGTGGATGTAGGTCACGATGACTGAATCACTATAAAATTCGGTTTGCATTTACTTCTTATAATTTATATTTACTCTAAACTGTCTTAATTGCTTAAGTTGTCCGGTATGTCATTGGTTCATCTGGCGCTTTGTCCGAACCTTCAGTGCATCATCCTCTCTTGCGGCGTATTGTCTAATCGACATGTTGACCTCCGTAACACCCGATCTCCTTAGCGCAATGTCCGATCCTTCTGGCCCAATGCTCAAATTCATGGCACGATGCATTCTATCGACAAGTTGACCTTCCTCCGATTCGACGTCCAATCTTTTGACATGTTCCATTCCGCCCCAACTTCTGATTCTATTACTTTATCGATTTATTTTCCCTGATCGAAGCTAGTCCTGCGTCACTTAAATACACATTAGATCATAACTTTATCAATTGGTTTCATCATCAAAATATGAGATTCAACAATACTTACCTTAGTAATAAAAGTTATATATTACCTTTGGAACATCTTCTATATCCTACTCTAAACTAATTAAAATTATTTATATTAATGTCTGGAGTCCTACCCCAATCATTTTCTTTGATAATTTTAAATTTTATATCTTTTTTTATATTACTTCACTAAATATACATGACTATGTTCTATCAAACATAAATCTAAAGAAACTATAGTTTTTTGCTCATCTTAGAAAGTTGATCGAGAACTTCTTATACCATTAAAATAGTTTACTATAATGGAAGAGGTGAATACCAAACTTTAACAACTTATCTCTTATAATATAGTATACAATATCTCATGTCACCATCATATACACCTTAACTAGCTAGCTTTGTTGAATGAAAGCACTAACACATAGTTGAAACCAATCTCACCCTCTTATATCAACTCTTTATGTCAACCTTTCGGTAAGTAGTCTTTCAAACTATAGTCTACCTTATTAATCGTATGCTCACTCTAATCCTATAACATCAGTCACTATTTAAAAGACTATTTCACAAAACCTCAAACCTCTAATAACTCAAATTATTTAGTTATATATATTATCTATTATTATGTTTCTATGCTTCATACAAGTTAATACCAAGATCTAAGTCTTGCATCTTCATTGGATACTTCCATGAATATAATGTTTTTTGATGATATATTACTTAAAATCAAAAAGTATTTATATTATATCATATTATTTTTGTTGAGTCCGACTTTACCTTCGAGAATCTTACTTCTTTAGTAACACAAGCTATTACAATAATTATCTATTACTATGTTCTTATGAGTACATATCAAAGTCCCTCAAGTGCACCTCTCACCACATCAACCAATAGTTCTCTTCTAGACTTATACTCCTTTATTATTCAATTTAGTAGTATCTCATTCTCTCTGTAACTTTTCCATCTACCTCTCCATTAACTAACTTTGTAATACCCGATGAAGTAATCCCCTTAGCATCACAAAATGATATCTTTGTCCTCCCTCAATCAAGTGACACCGAATTACATTTTTATCACATCAACCAATAGTTCTCCTCTAGACATATACTCTCTCATTACTCAGTTCAATAGTACCTCATCCTATATATAACTTCTCCATCTACAATAGCCAATGAAGCAATTCCCTTACCACCATAAATGATATCTTTGTCCTCCCTCGACCAAGTGATATCGAAGTACATCAACCTGATCAAGTATGTGTTACTAACTTTTCATCAATTTTTATATCTTTAACATAACTCAATAATACCATCGAGCCTAAATATCACATAACAATAAGCTCTACAAATAACATCTTTAAATCATGTCAAATCCTTAATTTTTATACTATCATAAGCTCTTCACTTGACTTTACTGAATTCACAATGAGTACCCAAGCTCAAAAATCTCTACACTAACACAAAATTATATGTGAGAAATATAATACCTTATTCCATAATGCAACATAGACCCTTGTACTATCTCATCTTACACAAAACAACTTTGAATGTACTTAGATCTTTTGAATTAAGTGAAATCTAGATAGGTCAATTACTAAATACTAAATATGTTTAGCGGTCAAAGGGTTTCACTAATGGCCGAGTGTTTGATTTTATAGAAACCTTCAGTCCTATTATTAAATTGATAACAATTTGACTTATTTTGAGTTTGACAATTACTTAATGCTATCATATATAGATATTAGCAATGTTTTCTTACATAACACCTTAACTGAATATTTTATTTATGCAACAACTTCTGGTTTTATCCACTCTTAGTAAATAAACCATGCTTGTAAATTATGAAAAGTTATTTATGAATTTCTCCAAGCTCTAAGAGATTGGTATACTGAACTTGTCTTATTTTTTATGTTAATTGACTTCGTCAACTCTAAATCTGATACCTCTTTATTCATATAATAACAAAAGTGAATTACTATATATTTACCAATCTATGTGGATGATTTTATCATAATAAGTAATAATTTCATGGAGATCAAATAATTCCTTAAGTAATTTAGTGTCTTTGGCAAATTTCATGAGATAGGAACCATAAGCTATTTTCTAGGAGTGAAAGAAGCATTCACATCTTTTGGACTTTTCTTATTTCAGAAGTGCATTCAAGATCTATTATCAAAGATGAATTGGCAAAATACTAAAGAAGTCATCACCTCATTTTCCACTACTAAGTCACTCAAATTATATATTGACGACCTTATTATAGATATCACATAGTACTAACAAGTACTTGGTGCCTTATTTATATCTTACATGTTTAGATATTTCATTTGTAATCAAATAATTATTACAATTCATACATCGACCATTTATCACATATTGGTGTATATTAAAGCGTGTCATATGATATTAATTATAGACTTTGTCCTTCATAAATACTCATCACTTTATCTCTATGCCTTTATTCATGATTGGGCAGACAACATTGGCAATAGAACATCTACGTCAATCTACATTATCTTCTTTGGAGAAAATCTAATCAGTTAAAGTTCCAAGAAATAGAATACCGAGCCATCGCCACTATTGCTATAAAACTCAAATGGATCACCAATCTATTACTCAAACTTGGCATCACTTTTCAATTCACTCTTGAAATATACTATGATAATATCGGTGACACCTACATTTTTGTCAATCTAGTATTTCACTCATGTATGAAATATAATATCATCAACTTTCACATTATTAGCAATCATGCTGTCAGACATTAATTATGTATTTTTCACATTCATACTTCTGACCAACTAGTATACTCTCTCGTAAAATCTCTCGCTCATAATATATTTTAGTTATATCGATCTAAGATTGATATTCTTGATGGAATCTCAATTTTGTAGGGGCATGATAAAAAATTATGATAGAGACAAATATATAATGACGCATTCCTTGCTCTATTCCTTAATCAATCTATATACAAGGATTCCTCAAAATTTATATAAATATATATTATCTATGATGATATCATCTCATTCATAATATATTCTTTAATTTTTTAACATATTTATTTATCTAAATTCTAAAATAACGACACGTATCCCTTCAAATTTAGAATCTTAAACACAAAATACACATGAAATAGTACCCTACATGATCATATATGCCACGTTCATGTGTGCACACATTAATTCCCTGTTGTATTATGTTATGGTGTTTTCTGCTTCAATTAGTACAAATCGTAGCGTGGAGCGCCATGGTCGTCGGCCGAAGCGCCTTCCGAGTCCCACCGCAGAGCCGGTGGCTGCGGATTACCGGATGCCGACGCGGCTGATTCCGCTACCTTCCACACCTTGACGGACTTGTCTAAGCTCCCACTGTAGATCACCCACCTCCCTCCCCCGCAGTCGTCGAGGTCGGCCTCCACGGCCAGGCACTTGACGGGTCCGGAGTGCCCCGTCAGCATCGACATACACACGTGGCCGCCTCCCCCATCCCGCCGCCACACGCATATCGTCTTGTCCGCGGACCCACTGAACAACAGGCTGCCCGCCGCCACCAGGCACAGCACCGCCACCTTGTGCCCCCGGAGAACCCCTCCGCACCCGCCGGACCCACCCACACCTCCCCGGTCCCACCAGCTGATCCCGCCGTCGGACGATCCCCCGTACATCAACCCCGCTGCCACGTTGATTGCCAGCGCCGTCACTGCCATGTCCTGCCGCACCAGGGTCACCGCCGGCTGGTGCCTCGTCAGACCGGCTTGCTTCTTCCCTCCCTTCTTCCCGGTCGGCTTGGGCAATTCCTCCCTCCTCCACGCCTTCACCGTGCCGTCCGCCGAGCCGGTGAAAACCAGCCCGTTGAACCCGACCACCACCGCGTTGACGGCGTCGTCGTGGGCGTTCACGGACTCGACGCACCGCAAGTCCTCCACGCGCCACACCTTCAGCGTCCGGTCCCACGACCCCGAGTACAGCAAGCTCTGGTCCTCGCTCAAGCAGAGACAGGACACGGCGTCGGTGTGCCGGATCCAGACAGCGGACCGGTGGTGGCGCCGCCGGGCCTCGACGTAGTTGCTTGGGTTGATGGAGCTCTTCAGCAGGTCCTTGAAGCGAGGGAGCGTTCCGACGCGCTTGTGGACCCGTGGATTCTTGGGGGAGACCTTCCAGACCCGGATCTTTCCATCTTGGTGGCCGGTGAAGATGCGGTGGTCGGTGGATATGACTATGGCCTTCACGAGGCCGCTAGTCGACTTGAAACCCGCGTACTCCTTTTGGTTCTTCCACACTCGGATGTTCTTGCTGTCGGATCCGGTATACAGGAGGCCGCCGATGGCAGCAACGGAGTAGATGTGGCCTTCCTCGCGGACGAGGGAGCCGACGAGGCCAGTGCCCGAGGGGAAGAGGTCTGTGGTGGTGTTGGTCGCCCCCGGAAGAGGGCCGCCGGAGGAAGCAGATGAGGTGGCGGGTTGGTGGTTCCAGGGCGACATGTGGAAGGGAGAGTTGTCAGCGGAGGAGTTCTGGGTGTCGGTGGTGGAGGCGCTGTGGTCGGAGGAGTAACCGGGGCTGGCGGTGGAGCCGTTGCTGTGGCGGGTGGGGAACTCCTCCTCGCTGGTGGACTTGATTAGGGGATCGGAATGCATGAGGGTTGAGTCCTTGGAAGGGCGCGGGAGTCCGCCGCCAGCTTCTGCGAACAGAGTTTGGCCTCCGCAGCTGCCACCACCACCACCTCTTGATCCTTCTTTCATGTATGTCAAATGGCTGGAAGTACAGAGTAGTGAGAAAGGATTCAAGGGGAGCGACAGAGAGAGAATGGACGGGAAGGATGGCGACAGAGAAGGAATGGTCGAGAGAGAGAGAGAGAGAGAGAGAGAGGGTGGTGAGAGAGGAGGAGGGAAGAAGGGGATGACAGATGTGAGGAGAGGAGGAGCGAGAGGGAGGAAGCGAAGAGTAGAACTCGGACGACCGCATGAGCGTTGGAAACTTGTTCGCAGAGTCGCCATTCGTTGGAGTCAGAAGCTCACCTGTCTCGCCCACGACAGGGAACACGGTGCTTCCCTCATGAAAAATGCAATTTGCAGTCACTATGAGTTAGAATTTTTTTTTTAAAAAAATAAATCAAGTTAAAGACAAAGAAAAAAGATTATAGGCATTTCGAAATCATTGGACAAATGTTAATTCCAATTAATAAAAAATCACATATGAAAAATGCAATTTACAGTCACTACAAGTTACATTTTTTTGAAAAAAAAGATCAAAATAAAGAAAAAGAAAAAAGAATATAGGCATTTCGAAATCGTTGGGACAAATATTAATTCTAAAATAAAAAATTAATAAAAATAATCATATATCAGAGCCAGGTTTCGATCCTGGGACCTGTGGGTTATGGGCCCACCACGCTTCCGCTGCGCCACTCTGATCGTTGTGATTCATTTTAATAATTTTCTTTCAAGTATCTCTAATTACTTGGTATCATTCAAAGGCTGGCAGCACCGAACAGGAAAAGGCCTATACCGCACCACCCGATCCACCCTGCCCCATGTCCACGCGGAATACGTTCTTGATAAATTTGACTTTGGTCACGTGTTTGTACCGATTGCGTTGAGTGAACTTTCTTTAGGTAAAGATGTTGTCATTTTATTTTCTGTATTTGATCAAACAATTTCATCATGCATCATTTGTCATCTGTGTCTGCAATGTGGACAGAAATGACAAAGACACCTCATTAGCCTATATCGTGACACTCTCCCCACTGCATGCAGACACGGCCCGGCCCGGCCAGGCATTGATATGTCAGGCATTGGTGAGATTCAACGCCTGGCATTGCATGCAGACACGGCCCGTCCGCGCACCACCCCCCAAACGATGGTAAGATTCCATCGTTCTCCAAAAGAATCTCTGTAGACCATAATGAACATATAGTTTCGGAGGATATTTCGGGAAGATCGGGTCAAAACCAGCATCTCCAACTACTGCTTTCTCAGACACCGTTTCCTCCCCGCAAAACACCACCAAATGCCTCTTCCTTAATTACCTCTTCTCCGCGTTCGCTCTCGGCTCTTCTGTTTGGGCGTTGCGTAGATATGACGGCGCCCAACATCGAAATGATTTCTGTTTTTCTTAGGAGTTGCGATCTGGGGAGAGTCGGAGCGGCTCATCTCGCGGAGGTGAGCGATGAGAGCGCGGGGGAAGTCACGGTGGAGCTGAACTCGGAGACGGCGCTCCCTTGTCACTGGGAGCAGTGTCTAGACATGCGGGTACGAGGCTGCTCCTTAAATGCTCCTCCCTTTTCACCAATCATTGATCATAAATGCACCAACTCGAGCTCCAAAATGGTTTTGTGATCGTTTCCGGCATCAAAATCCATCCTTTTTTGGTTCTTCGCCTATCTACCTTACCACCTCTTCCTCCTCCCTCCCCCTTGTTGTAGATTCTCCGTCTTTGCTTGACAAAACTTCCCCTGTTTCCATGGCAGTCGGGGCAAGTCTACTACATCAACCGGGAGACTGGGATCAGGACGACCAAGGACCCAAGAACCGCCCTCGCCACCGCCGCCGCCGCTGCCTCCTATTCGTCGAGCTACCAGTCCAAGCAAGACTCCTCCTTTGGCGACAGCTGCTCCGAAATCGGCGGCAGCGACGACGACGAGGACAGCGTCGATACCGCCAACTCCTGCCTCACCTCCCTCTCATCCACCTCCTCCACAGATACTGCAGCAGCGGCCGGCGGCAGCCAAATCCTCGTTTCCGCCGGCTGCCGCTCCTGCTTCATGTACTTCATGATCCCGAAGAGCGTCGACGCCTGCCCCAAGTGCGGCAGCGGCGGCTTCCTCAAACTTGGCCGCCACGGCTGCGTCTGAACTGCTCGACCCCTCGATCTTGTTCTTGTGTGTTGGATCAATCCAGCTAGAAAAGATCGACCTTTTTCTAGCTTCTGACCACCGCTGTGAGCATCTAAGAACAAGATGTACTCTTTCTGATTTCTTCTTCGGCACTCTTTGACAAGGCTTTCTTTCTTCTCCTAGGAGCAGCAATCACGAACACGGGTTTCCCTCTTTTTTTCTTGGTGCCATTCTTTATGCCAACATGGGGTTCAGAATAAAGGCTTTGGCTTCTGACAACTGTTCATCACCTTTCTGTGACTGTGTGTCCCGAGTTAATTAATACCATGCGTTGCTCATTCAATGATTTAGATTTACAGTAATAAATCATAATAAACGCAGATGTAAATTACTCTTTAGCACGTTCACAAGTGTATGACTAGGCTCTGACATCCCAATAACTCATATCTCAGATACGGAATTAGCAGTGTTAACATAGCTCATCGCTGTGACTCATTCCTGAGGGAGCAACACACATAGGTAGACATATTAAGACTTGCCTTTCGAGAAAAGAAGCTGGTAGACTGAGCTGAGAATAAAGTGGATGGTTGAAAGTTAAACTGCTCCAGAGAAAGGAGGCTCTCCTGGGGTTGGCAGAAAGGAATCTACGCAGAGGAGGAAGACATTGAGCAGAGAAGGCACGCCCTTCCCCTTGACTTTGCAGGTCACAACCAGAAACAACACCTGCTTTAAGAAAGGCGGCAGCAGCTGGAACAGCTTTCGCTTACGTTGTTGCACTACCATTGCAGCTGCACCAAGTCTCGCTGTTGTATTGACACCATGATCTCCTCAAGCCCAAGCCACGCTGTTTTCTATTCCCCGGGAGAGCCGTATGATGCAGTGAATTAAGTTATCGCAAGCAAACGATGCATTCCCAAGTTTCTTTCACATTTCTCCTCCTTTGACACCCTACCACAACTTGAAAGTAGCACTGAAGAAATAAGAGTGATCAAACCCTAATATATGATTTCTCATTGGATTCCAGTTAAAGAGATTCATTCCTTGGAATCCTTTTCTCAACCATTAATTAAAAGCTCAATTATTAGAAATATATGAATCATTTACTGCAAGTTCTGAAAGTAACAACTGATCATTTGATTGTCAATAGCAAAGGAACAATTTACATCAACGTCAAGAGATACTAAGTACCGTAAAAAGTATTCGATCGCAACAAATCTGTGTCAGCAACCAAAACAAATAAAACAACTGAGATAAAAACAGTCTTTGGTACAGCTCTCTGCCATCTAATCAAACAATTAGAGGTTGAAGACGGTCAACACGTATTCTTAGCCGAACCCGTCGCCTGTATCCTCTCGTATGGACCTGCTGCCGTCAACCTGCACCTTTTTAAATGACTTGATATCAGACTACTAAGTCAAATTTCAAAGCCCTAGAGGTGGTCTGTCACGACAACACGATAATTAGACTAAACCATCCTTAACAAATAGATATAAATGTTGGTAAAACAGATACAAAGCATCAGTTATTTAAATATATATATTTTTAATTATATGCCTGTAGTTATCCACTTTGACAAACAACAGTCCGTATCTCATCATATCAGAAATAGCTCGACATACTGACTTGAACTTTAAAACTATACATGTTTGCACAAGATTTACTTTCTCAAGTACTAATGATATATACTTTCATAGCAATAAGTCAACGGTTGAAATTTAAAATCGTTTAGGAAACTACGTGAAGAGATAGAATATAAACTTCAGACAACGGTAAACGATTTTATTATGTTATTTATAGGCATCACAAACCATCCTTCAAGAGTTGGAAGTTTGTGGCCACCTACATATAAACATACAAACCTTCTTATAAATGTAAGAGAAGAGAATTAAATAAGGATGAGCTCTAAAAACCCGTGATATTGGACTCTGTAAGACCACAAGGTGATTAATGAGCTCGATGGTATAGTCTTCTACGATATCAAATCCTAGCATCTGAACTTCCTAAGAATCGGGAATAAATGCACTTAATGATAAATAATTACCTCTCTTTGCGCTTCTGGAAGAACCGCTGCAGTGATTTCTTCCGAGCCATCGGCAACAGATCTGCACACGCAACGGAAACGGAAAAAGAGTTCTGTATCAGGCCAATTTACGTTTTCATCGACGGCCATTTTAGACATTTACCTTCGTCAAGTTTATCTAGCAACCCTTTCCCGCTGATCTCCGCCATCTTCATTATTGCCTCCGCCTATTCAGAGGTCGAAACTATAAGAAATTGCTCGTGATTGTTCTACGGAAACGGAAGAGAAAAGACTAACTGACCTTATTCTGCGCAAGATCGAAAACGGCGACGGTGCCGTTGTAAAAGATCGTTAATGGCGCCGTTACAGAATCGTTCCTTCGTGCGGACAGATCGGACGGATTCAGAACAAGAAGCGACAGCGGAGGTGGAATCGGTGTTCTCCCGACGGAGGAGATCACGTTCCGCAGGAGTTGCGGATTCATCCTGGAGATGGCGCTCAGCTTGGCGCCTTAAACCCACCAAACGAAACCCTAAATTATTGTGGCGGAAGAGAGAAGAGAAAAGAGGGACGGGATGGGATGGGATGGGATAGGATAGGATACCTGGGGCGGAGGTGCTTTGATCCATGGCGCGGGATCGTGTCTTCTCCATCGCAAAGAAATCGAATTCCACGACATCTCTCGACATCACTCTTTCGTCTCCTATATCTGCGGTGCCGTCTGTCTTGTCTACCGCTCTTGTTTGAGGCGGTAGTGCTTTTAAATACCGAGGCGGAAAAAGGCAAGAAACAACCCGGAAGTATAGAGGAGGGCAGATGTTAGTTGAACGAGATGGTCCGCGTCGATCCACCTAATCGGTAGTGGCCGTCCGATCTTTGTAAGACGAGACACGTGGAGGGTGCGAGATGCGGGAAGAGGTAGACGTGTCACGCCGACAAGGTCGCAAAAGGCACGTGTAGTCCCCAAAGGATCGCATCGAACACGTTTGGTGGGGCCCGAGCGGCGGTCACCGTGGCGCAACGCCGTTGGGCACGTGTTCACGCTTCGAAGAAATGGTCAGAGACCGCAACAAGACGGAGAGTGATGGCGAGACCGTAATAAAAGGTCGATTCCCAGAACTCGTCTTCCGCGTGGGGAGTAGACAAATGTAGCTCGTGGGGCCCGCGAGAAACACGTGAACGCGGCCGCAGAATTGGGAAGCAAGCGAGCCGACATTAGGTGGGAGCGGCTGAGCCACATTTCGCAACCGCGGTGTAATGGTGATAAATTACCGATGGATGGTGCTATCGGAGAGTTGTTGACCATTTGACACTGAACTTGTAGAAATTTTGGTTCAATTGGGTTGGGATCTTGATTCAAGTCAAATTGATTCAGGTCAAATCTCTCGGAACACATTGTATTATATTGTAAATTAAGTTAGAACCAAAAACAATGAAGGCATAAAGATAAAGATTACACTCGTTACTTAACGAGTGTAACCCTAGGCGGTGTCAAAGAACGATCCCCTCTTCTTTAACAATGAATTATAATGATACAATAGTAGAGATGTTGACTTGAACATATAGAAATAGTAGATTTGAAAATTGAATTCGTCATGAAAAATGTACAATTGCAAATTTGCTTTGCATGTAGAGCTATATTTTATACTGTATTAGGTAGGATTTTAGTATGTAGAAATTATTTTTTAAAGTAATACAAATATTAAAATTAATTTTAATTTTAAATAAATAAATTTCTCATAAGTAATTTTTTTAGATATTTTACCCAAAAAAAAGCCCCTAATGATGGGGTTTTATCAAATGATGCTCTCATATTTATTTTTTAATCAAAGCGTATCTCTTTTATTTAAAATTTTAAAAATATCTTTTTTGTTGTTCAATCATTTTTGTTGATCCTATCGGTCTGATTCAAACTCGACTAACCCAAAGATTAGTTTGGTTCGATCTTGGTCTTGATTATGGGTTGAATTGATTTGGGTTAGATCCTTTGAAGCAGATCGGATCATATTACATGTTAGGTTAGGTTTGAATTAAAAGGTAAGGGAGACAGAAAGATGAGGGCTAATTGAATAAGTGCAACCTCATTATACGTGGCGGTGACAAGCGATCCTTTCCTCTCCAACAATAAATGGTTGGGGCATCCTCCTCTCAACGACGACGATGATGACTAGTGTAACTTGTACTTCTTTTCGTAGCGACATCCTCTAATCCTCTCTAGTAGTCAATAGCGATAATATCCTTTATAGCCTTATTGATGGCATCACCAATTGACAACGACTTCATCTACTCTCTAATTATGAATGGTACAATCTTTTTGTAAGCGACAACATCACATCATTGACCACAAAACTAAGATATTGAAAAGAATCCAATTTTTGATATTACTAATGTCTTGTTCAAAACTTTGTAACTGAGTTGAATTACAAAAAAAAAGAAAATGTCAAGACTAATATACCTTTGAAAAAAATCTCATATTTCAATCCTACACACTTATCTCAACATATAGATTAGATCAAATAATTTACCAATTGATTTCATCATTAAAATCCGAGACTCAACATTGGTTTAATATCCAAGAGAGATAGCTTTTGCTGGTAATCTAGAGGGTCATTCTATCACTCGTCCTTCTATGTTTAATGGGACGGACTATACATATTGAAAAACTCATATGAGGATTTTTTTTATTTCTATGAACTTTGATTTATGGAACATTATTGAATGTGATTTTCAAAAATCCTCTGGACCAATGAGTGAATGGAATGATCTAGAGAAAAAATTATTTTACTTAAATGCGAAAGCTATGAATGCTTTATTTTGTGCTTTAGATAAAAAATAAATTTAATTATGTTTCTATATGCAAAACTACATATGATATTTGGTACATACTCAAAGTCACGCATGAATGTACAAGTAGAGTTAAAGAGTCTAAGATCAATCTTTTGTTACATAGTTTTGAATTGTTTCGAATGAAACCAAGTGAAACTATTAGAGATATGTACATCTATTTTATAGATGTCGTCAATAGTTTGAAAGTTCTTAGTAAAATTTTTTCTAATATTAAACTTGTTAATAAAATTCTAAGATCTCTTCCAAAAAATTGAGATATGAAAGTAACTAGAATACAAGAGATAAATGACTTGAATTGTTTTTCACTTGATGAACTCATAAGATCATTAATGACTTATGAAATAACATGCAAGATATATGATGAACATGATGAATATGAGAATAACCTTATAAAGAACAGAAATGATATGACACTTAGAACTAAAGAAGACCACTCGAGCGAAAGCTCAAGTGATAATGAAGACTTGACACTCCTAACAAGAAAATTTAAAAAATTCATAAGAAAAAACAAAATAAATCTTGTAAAACAAGATACTAAAAACAAAAACAAACTAAAAACGAACATAGTCATTTGCTACGAATCCAAAAAGCCGGGGCACTTCAAAAGTGAATATCCTCAACTGAAGAAGAAGAAGCTACCAAAGAAGAAGAAAGCACTCAAGGCGACTTGTGATGAATCGAGTGCATCTGAAGACAAAGAGTAAACCAATGAAGGCGAGGTGGCAGCTACGCTATAACGACGCTCAATGATGAGGTAAGTGACTCAATCGAATCTTATTTATCTTATGATGATTTACTTAATTCTTTTAATAATTTATATGATGAATATAAGCTAGTTGGTAAAAAATATAAGTTGTTAAAAAATAATCATGCTTCTCTTTCTAATCAATTTAAAAAATTAAAAAATGAGCATAATAATAGAATGTTAACTTCTCGCTTTAAGTGTAAAGAGT